ATGGACCAAGACCGGACACCTCCAGGACGGACCGCGAGCCGGGTGCGCAACCGCGCCTCGTGAACCAACCTGAAGGCATGATTACCCACGGGGTCGCCGTTACTCTCGCGACGACTCAAGAGGACCAGAAAGAAGAATACATGACCCACGGGGTAGTCGTCTCCCTCGCGGCAACTCAAGCGGACAAGACAGGGAACGCACCAGGACGGAATTGATCACTCGTCCAGGACAAGAGCGTCCCTCCAGGGGGCCTGCTGGACTTCAGCAGCGCCCCCACCATCCGACGTGGCAAGTGACAAGACCGCCCTGTCGCCGGCCCTTACCACAACTCATCCTGTCGAGGTGCCTCGGACGCCCCGGAGCCGCAAGGCTAAACAGGATGACAACTTCAACCGTGACGCAGGCACCCGTATCTACCAGGGCAGTGGTCAAGCGTCCGTCCACATACACTTGGATGATAGGAGCTTCCGAGGGAGATACGACTCCGGCCAAGGTGGCGTTCGGCTTGGGCAGGACGGCCTCCTGTCTTCCAGGGGCGGCGTCCAGAAGCACGTCCAGGTCCTCAGCCGCAAATGGCCAGGCGTAATGTGCCCAGCCAACAGGTTTGTTATCTTCCTGAGCCGCCAGGCCCGGTTCCATGGCCTGTTCGCTCATAGAGGTGCGCTTCAGCTCGGCTCGTCGGAGTCGTTGACGCCGGATACTTGCCGCCGACGCCTGCTGATATGGGTCCAGGTCCAGGCTGAGGTAGCTGTGTCTCACTTGGAGTGGCCGACGTCGCGTCCTCCAGATACTTGCCGGCAGTCGCGTCGCTTCCAGGTCGACGATTGGGATTCTTGCCGTAGTGTCCAGGTCGAGGAAGGTGAAAGCGGCCATTCCAGAGAACGTAACCCGGTGGCGGTGCTGGGTCAACTTGTCGGCAGGACAGCTCGGTGTCGTCTCAGGACCAACCAGGACGGCGCAAACGCTTTCCGACACAGGCCAAGTCCCTTGCGCTCCATCCTTGCACATCGTGTAGTTGCCACGATTCCTCCCCGGTTGCTTTCAAAGTTCCTATTGGCAGTCCTGGCTTCTTCACAAGTCGCCAGGGCCCGGGTGAACCATGCCAGCCACCGTTCCGGGTCGTCAATGTTAGCAGGGGCTTCTAGGAGCATCTTGTCGTCTGCAGTCAGTGGCCTGTTCAGGGCCTTCATGACGACTTGAGCGATTTCTTCAAGGGAGACGTCCCGGTGTCTGGTCTTGAGGGCCTGGAGCTGTGTGTTGCAGTCTTCGGCCGTGACAGGATAGAGTCGATCTTCGATATCGACCATCATGGTGTCCGGAAGACCAGCCAAGTATCCTCGCGTGATGCTTTCGACCTGTCCCGGCGTAAACACCGGAGGTCGGGAGTTATCAGCCAAGACCTTTGGACGCACCTGGGGTCGCCTGAGTTACGCCGACCACGCACGGGACTTGTGTCGGCAGAGAACACGCCCATGCCTACTCTTGGTGTATGGACGGCGACGGTACGGCTGGCCAACCAGGGCGTGCAATTCCCGGTGTGGGTCATGAAGACCACAGTGAACCCATGTATCCTCGGGATCAACATCCTGCGCAGATTCAGCGCCCTGGTGGACACCACGAACAATCTGCTACGGTTCGGGAACACAAACCAGACCGTTCCCTTCTTGAGGGATGAGGCTGGCTTACCCCACTTGTGCGCCACTCTCCATCTGCGCCGCGACGCCTCTCCGGG